AGCACTGGTTGAAATGTTCTCAGCTCTGAGTAACAGAAAACCTATGCTGTAAAGTGCCATGTAGTCAATGTCTTAGGCTCTGTGAGCCATGTGGCCCTGCCAAATTACTCAGTTCTCATAGTGTAGTGTTAAGGCAGCCCCAGGCAAAAATAAACAAATGAGTTTGTATTAGTGTTCTCAAAGTGCTTTGTTTACAGACACTGAAAATTTTGTGTCATACAATCTTCATGTGTCACAAAATATTTTTCCCCCATAATTCAGCAGTATAAAACTAATCTCAGCTTGTAGGGTACAAAAAATGGGCTGTGAATGTGGATGATGGACTGTGGTTCACCAACCCCTGGCCTTGCCTACTCAGGATCTACTCCTGAATTACTATGGGGAGATGAACAATCAATCAAATCAAGGCACTAACAGCAATAAGGTTGGAGATAAGTTTTATATTACCAACCTTTTCTTTTCTATATATAATTCAGGAAAATACAAATTATAATGACAGTAACATCTAACGTATAGTCATTGTGTTTTATAGACACTGTTCTAAGTGCTTTAAAACATTAATATAAGACAGGAATGGTGATGGCCTCCTTTAATCCCAACACGTGGGAGACAGAAGCAGGTGGATCTCTGTGAGTTCGAGGCCAGCCTGGCCTACATAGTAAGTCCCAGGCAAGCCAGAGCTACATTGTGAGACCCTGTCTCTCTCACACACAAACTAAAATATTTTTACCTTAAAGCAATCCTAAAACGTCACTATCTCTACTCTTAGAAAAAAAGAAGCCAAGGCACAGTGAAACTGCATGGTATGCTCACTCTGGGATGTGGGACAAGGAAGTAGGAGCCTAGAGTCTCACTTTAAGTCACTATGCCATGTTGCTTTTGCTACGGGGAAAAATAGGAAGGAAAAATGCTTTAGGACACTCAAATCAAATATAAATGCAGACACCTTTATACCCTGTCACAACACCTACAGTAAGATAAACATGACTGTTTTCACCTGCTTTAGAAGCAGCTCAAACTTTTGCTACAAATATATGTGTCCTCAACCCAAAATTCAGCCAACCACAGATTGCTGAAAATTTTACAAAAACATTTTAGTTATTTTTAAGGGCTCCTTTTGTCACAATGTCAGTGTCTGTTTCTAAGTGCCAGAACATAGAAGGGAAATAGGCACTACAAGTTTTTTAAAGTACACATCAACATATATTATAGTAACTCTGTAACAGTGGGAATTATTGTTAACATTATGTGACACATTTCCTCACACATTACAGTTACTGAACTCAGGTTACATGTTTTCCTATGTATAATAATGGATGGGTTCCACATGCAAGTCAAACATTTACAAATTTTGCTTTGTAGCATACTTACATCTAAGTCCTACATATGAAAAGACTCTTGTGTTTAATGATGTTTCCTGATTATTTATTTTTGCTCTTTTAACAGCTTAATATATGTAGATATTTGTTGGTTTCTTGTTCTGTCGTTTGCTTAGGAACGAAAAAACAGCCTTGGAACAGAGAGCATGACTTTTAGCATAACTGTTGCCTTCAATATAAATTCATTGAATTGTTGTTGAAAAAAAATTTCAAATTTCAAAAATATCAATGTAGATATGATGAAAGTATTAACAATATGATCAATATTAAATAAAACATAAATTTTAAATTAAGGCATCTATATCTGTTGCAATCTTTGCATTTATTCCCCCTTGATCTCTTTAAAATGGATGCAACCTGCATAAAAATTTCTGAATACTTAAAATACTCATGCCCGTGTACCTTTGATTGTATAAAGCTAGATGTCATCACAGAAAAGTGTCTTTCATGTTTTACAGTCTTTATATTTTCTTCCATCTGTTTCCTGTTGTTTAGGAAAATGTACCATGTTGTAAAAAGTCCTTCCTAATACATTTACAGAATTTCTTTCTGTACATTTGCTGATAATTCTTTAAGGAAACATTGTGGCTGAATTTTTATCTTTCTTGATACTCATAAGGTTTCTCTTTTGTGTGAATTATAGAAGAAAGTTCTATCCAAATGGAAATTCTGAATTAATATTATTTGCTATCCTTTTTCTTCTCGGTGTGTGTTTTCTGATGTGCAGTGAGTTGAGACTTCTGGATAAAGGTTTCCCCACACTCCTGGCACTCATAGGGTTTCTCTCCTGTGTGTTTTCTCTGATGTATGACAAAATGTGATTTCTGAGAAAATGATTTCTCGCACTCCTTGCATTTATAAGGCTTCTCACCTGTGTGAGTCCTTTGATGTAATCTGAGAACTGAATTCACAGAGAAAGATTTCCCACACTCTGTATATTTCTCTCCTGTATGTTTTCTCTGATGTTTAGTGAGGTCTGATTTATAGAAAAAGTTTTTCCCACATCTATTACATTCAAAGTGTTTCTACCCTGTGTAGGTTCTCTGATGCACTGTGAGGGCTGACTTCTGGTGGAAACAATTCCCATATTCCTTACATTTATAGGGTTTCTCTCCTGTGTGAGTTCTCTGATGAGTTTTAAGGTGTGATTTCCTAGAGAAAAGTTTCCCACATTCCTTAAATTTGTAGGGTTTTTCCCTTGTGTGCGTTCTCTGATGTACTGTGAGGTGTGACTTCTGAGAAAAGAAGTTCCCACATTCCTTACACTGAAAGTGTTTCTCACCTGTGTGTGTCTTTTGATGCACTAGGAGGTATGCCTTCACATAGAAAAACTTCCCACACTCTGTACACTCAAAGGGTTTTTCCCCTGTGTGTGTTTTCTGATGTTCCAAATTGGGTGGGAGCGAGCGGCACGGATGGAGGAGGCACGAGCGGATGGATGAGGCACGGAGGCTCAGATGGAATTCTCAGTGGGACACAGATTTATTTCGCATGGGGCACCTTTCCCTCGGGAAGGGAAAGATGTCGGCAGAGGGAAAGATGTCAGGGAAGGGAAGGGAAGGGAAGGGGAGGGGAAGGAGGGGGGGGGAAGGAGGGCC